GTGTGTGTATGGTGTGAGCATTAGTGTGTGTGGTGTCTGTATGTGTATGAGTGTATGCATGGTGTCTGTATGGGTGTAGTGTGTGTGATGTATTACGGTGTGTGTGTGGTGTGTGTATGGTGTGTGCATGAGTGTGTTTGGTATCTGTGAATGTGTATATGTGTGTGGTGTGTGTACGAGTGTGTGTGGTGTGCATGTGTGCATGACTGTGTATGTGCACAGATGGTCAGAATCATGGCTGCTGAGGGACTTGACTGTGAGTGATGCTGTCTTGGGTCCAGGGGAGGGGACAACCTCCTTGGTCACCTGACTAGAGAGAGGAGGGTCTGCCAAGGTCAGAAATAGTGCCTGCTCCCTCCGCCCTGACGCAGCCATTCCTGCTTCTTCTGGGACCTCCCTGAGAGAGAAGGGAAACAGTGAGGGAAGGTGACTGTTCCCACCACTCTGACAAGGGAAGGCGAGGGCCCCCCAGACTCTTCCCCAAGCCAAAAATGTAAGGTGGGGCCATGCCTATAATCACAGCACTTGAGAGGATCAGGAATTCAAAGCCAGCCTCAGATGGCCTATGTTATATAGAAAGGCCAAGGTTAGCCTGGGATACATGAAACCTTGCCTCTTCTTCCCCACCAATGCTCCCCAAATGCTGGGCATGGTGGCACACACCTTTAAACCTAGTACTTGGGAGACAGAGGCAAAAGAATGCCTTGAGTTCAAGGCCAATCTGGTTTATATAGCAAGTTCCAGGCCAGCCAGGGCTATAGAGTGAGACCCTGTAAAAACACAGCAAACCAAACATAGCAAACATAAATAACTAGACCCACACGTATGTTTTCTGCTCAGATATATTTGCTCTGAATAGACATCTTTGCAGTGAACATTTACAAGACACTTGGGCAACGTTAAAAACAGAACGCCTTGGGCAGGAGGAAACTGTTACCCCCACGCCCAACTCCAGGACATCAGGAAACACCACACACAGACATCGGCTGGTAAAATAGAATAAATACGAGGCACTCAGTATCACAAGCACGCGCTCGGGAGGCGCAAGGGAGGCTGAGGGAAATCTTGTGCTATACTCCACACTGGTCAGTTACAAAAATAAATAAGGGTCGGGGGGTTCGGACCTGGCTGTGCTAAAATATCATCCTCTGCACCAGCAAAATAAACTTTTATCTGACGGCCTCTCTTCCCCCATCTTGGGAAGCTAGGGTACCTCACTGGGAAGTGTAACTCTACACAGCAACCACCCTTCCTGCTGCCCTGGGCAGAGGTGGGGCTGAAGCAACATCAGTGTTCTACTGGGATTACAGGTCTCTCTCTGTTCACCCTGCCCCCTGAGTGGGAGACAGAGGTTCTGGTTCAAGAGGTGTGGCCGAGGCGGGGAGGTGACCAGAAGCCCACAGAGTGGGGCTCAAGACTGAAGGTACCCTCTGCAGATGCCTCAAGCCATGTACACCTCCTCTTTATAAAATCCTACCTGCCACTGCTTGATTGCCATAGAGGCTGCAGGTCCCGGGGACAAGTTTCCTCTATGAGTGTTGATTTCTGCTGCAGCCTGGACTGCTTTACTAAGAGACTGTGAGCGGGCACGAAAGCTCACTCGGGGTCACTGTTAGGGATCAGGAGATCTTGGTATGAAGGTATAGAGGGAACATACTCAGATCCAGCCCTGGCCCCAAGCTCTCCATCACGGAACACAGACCAACCCTGCCATGAGCCAACCCCCTGGCTCATCGGGCCTCTGTCCTGAGTGAACAAAGTGTTTAGAGAAAACCCAGCATCGCTGAGCATGGCTTCCATCAAGTCTGCAGGCTTCTGAGCCCAGATCACCGGTGATGGCAGGGAGGTCTCCTTGAGGGTGGGATAGTAAGGGCTGGGCTCTCATCAGGAGCTCCTAACTTCTTCCTACAAACACTTCCTGGATCCCTAGGGCACCTACAGGATGGATGCCTTTTCTAAAGAGAGTCTCCTGGAAGCGGATAGAGGAAAGTCAGAAAACGCAGGGAGTTAAGATCATTAGATCAAGGACTCAGGCAGGGCTGAGTCAGATGCTTCTACCAGGGGCACAGAACAGACCTTGGGTGAGAAGGATACATGGGGACATGCTGGTAGCCCCTCCTCCAAGCCAGTGGTTCTCGGTGGGGCACACAAGCTGTAAAGGGACGTCAGGGTCACCTCTGGGGATTGGGGGGGGGGTGACCTGGTGGTTCGAAGGCAGGCATGATGCTCAAAAACATCTGGGACTTTGAATGTGAGCAATGCCTACTGTGAGGCCTGTTCCAAGCCAGCCTGGCAGGAACGTTCTGGAACACCTCCAAAGGCCCTTCCTTGCTGGGTGCAGAGGAAACCCCAGAGGCCTCTCCTGTACAGATGAGGAAGGAACAGAGGAAAGGAAGAAGAACAGAGCCAGAGGCCACCTCTAGCCACTCACAATCGCAACTCCCAAGAAAGGGGGAAATCCCAGACTTGGACAATCTTTGGTCAAGCAGGAAACGTAAGGCTGAGATGGATTCTTCTCTACCCCACTGCCCAGTGGCCAAGGGTAAGAGCATGGCTCTCTGCACAGAAGTCCACGCTGGTCCACAGATGCTAGGACCTCGTGCTGGGCTGCAGGAGGGTGGGTGGGGGTGGTGAACCACGGCAGATCCTCACTTGTTCTCAATCAGAATCTGCACCTTATGCACGAGGTCCCGGGCGAGCTGTAGAATGTGCTTCGCATTGTGCCGCTCGGCCATTTCTGAAAGAGGAGAAACATTCGTGAGCAGCCTTGCGTGTCTACCGCTGGGAGATAGGTCCAGCTCCTGGTGTGGACTCTAGGGTGTTCCCACCATAAAGTGACTCTGGGAGGAGACGTGCATCTGCAGGCAGACCCCGGCTTCCCCACCTGTGGGCCGAGGATTGTAACATTGTAACACGAAGCCTTTTTCACAACACCACCATGGAAACAAAGAGACAATATAGGTCCAGACTGTGCTGGGAGACCCTTCTCTGCAGGCAGAATGTCTGTGAATACTTTACAAAGCCCATGTCAGGCCAGAGTGCTACAGGACACACCTGTAATAATCCCAGCACCCGGGAAGCTGAGGGAGGATAGCTGAGAGTTGGAGGATAGCCTGGGATACATAGAAAGACTTTGTCTCAAAAATAAAAGGAAATACCAGGCACGTAGCAGATTCTTAAAGATTCCGTGGGAATGATGAAGGCCCTGGCTGGTAGGGAAGAGAGAGGAAGAACTATTGAGAGTCATACAAAATGCAAAGATCTTCAAAGTTTTGCATATAGTAGGATAATCCGAAGCTTTACTTTATCACAGAGAAACCATTTCACAAAGGAAAAGAAAAAAAGCTAAGACCACCGTTTCTAAAGCAGCTGGTGAGGTACCCCTAGGGCTCCCGGTGAGCTTTCAGGGGGCATTGTGAGGGGTATGCAGTCATTTGGAGGGGACCTCGGCAACACTTAGCAGTTGTCAGTTCATCACACACTGCTGGCCACAGAGAGTTCGCCATACTAGGTTCTTGTAAGTGGTGTTCAGTCTAGATACAGCCAGGTTTGAGGGGTGGGAAAGCTGTTGGGATAAAAAGCAAGGACTGTGTGAATGTCTGAGGAAAGTGGGGTAGGGGTGGTGTGTGACCTCATCAGGAGGCAAAACTGTGCACAGCCCGGACTGTGTGTGTACTCTACAGCCAGGGACCACACAAAGGTAAGGCGTTCCCTTCAGACTGTGTGTCAGGGACTTTCTGAGTGATGAGGACTGGACAAAGGTGTCACATGGGGTGTTCATTCCTCCTCACCACTGGGAACTTGGGCTGCAAGGGCTCATGTTGCAGAAAAGCTAGGGGCTCCCTGGACTGAGGAAATTTGGGAACCTAGGGATGTTGAGGCAGGAGGATTGTGCTAAGATGTGGATTGCTTTGGGCTATCACATCTTCAAAGTGAACCAACAATAAAGGACCACAGGCTTAGTAAGTTATAGGATAGCCATGCGGGTGCACACCACAGCCCTGAAGAGGAGTCGAATGTGGATACTTTTTGAAAGAGTAGGTACAGCTGGACTCTGTGATGGTAACAACAGGAAATAAACAAGCATGGAAAAGAAGGGGATGGGTGAGTAGGGGACGGGCAGGGTCTGACACGGCCCAGGCTGGCCTTGAACTTAACTTTGTGCAGGGGATGGGGGAGGGTCTGACAAGGCCCAAGTTGGCCTTGAACTTATGGTCCAGGTTGGCCTTCAACTTAGCTACATGCAAGGGATAACCTCAGTTGAGACTCTTTTTTTTTTTTCAAGTTTAGTTTAGTTTTCTGAGGATTTCATACACGAGTGCTGTATTTATATAATTCTGCCTCTCACTGTCCCCCTAAAATTCCTTCTGTATCCCCAACCTTCCTTTCAAATTCATGGCTAAGATATAATAATAATAATATAATATTAATAATATATTATAATATATAATAATAATATATTATTATTATGTATGTGTCTGCATATGTGCGTGTATAAATGCATGAACCCAAGCCCATTTATATGTACCCGTGAACACATATACATACATGATATGACCACTTGGGACTGGGTATAACCTATCAGTGGGGCTCATCCCTGGGGAAGACTGATTCTCACTTCCAATCTCAGAAGCTATGAATTGCCCATAGCTCTTCATTTAGAAGTGGGGCCCTGATGATTTCACCCATCCTTGTTGACCTGTCAACAGGTGCTGGCATTGCTCTGGTCATGTGTAGGTGACCAAATCCTTTTAGATTTCGTGAGTACTGCTTCCCTATCATGTAGAGAAGCTGCTATCTCACAGCAGGTATCCTGATCCTCAGGAAAAGCCTTTAACAAGATCCAGCATACCCTCATGTTTAAAGTCCTAGAGAGAGTAGGGCTGGCAGGGTCAGGGGGACGTAACTCAACACAATAAAGATTCTGTGTGACAAACCCGCAGTCAGCAGCATCCTAAATGGAGAAGAACTCAAAGCAACCCCATTAGAGTCAGGAAGATGGCAATGTCTGCTTTCCCCATCCCTTTTCGGTGTGGTGCTTTATGCAGTAGCTGACACAGTAAGGCAAAGGGCGGGGGGAGAGATGTTAAAAGATCACAACCCGAAGAAGCCAAACTATTTCTATCTGCAGATGACGGTATACCATATGCAAAAGAAGCTAGAAAGTGTAACACAAAACTTCTAGAAACGATCAAAAATGCTTCCGGCAACATGGCCAGAGGCAAGACGAACTCACAGAACTGGTGCTCTTTCCAGAGGACGACCATGCTGAAAGAGATCACGAGTACATTCAATTCATGACAGCTGCAAAGAAGGTAAGACAGCCAGGAATAAATCTAACTGAACAGGCGAAGGACCTCCACAGTCAAAGACTTTGCACCTCTGAAGAAAGACTGAGACAAGAAAATAGGAAGCCCTCCCGTACTCATGGGTTAGTAGAATTAACACTGTGAAGAAGAGAACTTCCTTAAGAGCAACTTAGAGTCTGTACAACCCCCAATCAAAATCCCCACCTCATTCGTCACAGAAATAGAAAGAAACGCCCTGAATTCCACAAGGAGCCATGGAGGACCCTGCATAGCCAAAGCAACCTAGGTCAGAAAGGACAATGCTGACGGGTTAACATTCCAGGTCTCCGGATACATTATAGAACCACAGCTATAAAAAGAGCTTGGTCTTGTCATAAAGACGGATGGGAAACCAGTGGAACAAAGCAGAAGACCCGAACGCTTGCAAATAACTGCAGCTGATAGTTGATAAAGACGTAAAAGCAGACATCGGAGAAAAGATGTCTTCAAAACACGCCGCTGGGAGACCTCAATGTTCACATGCAGGAGAATTAAATTAGACCCGTATTTATCGTCCCACATAGAAACTAACTCCAAATGGGTCAAAGACGTTGTGCTGGATAGTTTTATGTCAACTTGACACGTGCTAAAGTCATTCTCGATTAACAAAATGCCTCCATAAGTTCAGCTGTAGGCGAACCTGTGGGACATCTTCCTAATTAGTGATTGATGGGGAGGGCCCGGCTCACTGTGGGTGGAGTCATCCCTAGGCTGGTTGTTAGCAATCTGTTAAACTCCACCTCCAGAGTCACCTGGCAACAGCTAGGTATGCTCCGCCCCACAGTTACCTGGCAACAGGCAGGTAACCCTGCCCACTATAAAAGGGGCTGCTTGGCCCCTCCTCTCTCTCTCTTGCTCCTCAACCCTGAGCACCTGCAGGTTATCCTCTCCCCTCTCCCCTTCTCTTCCCCCCTCTCTCCACGTGGTCATGGCCGGCCTCTACTCCTCTCTACTTCTCTCTCTCTCTCCTCTTGCTCTCCCACTCTCTTAATAAACCTCCCCTCGTGGAACCATCTTGGCCTGCTGTGATCTGTCTCAAGCTGCGCCGTGGAAATCCTTTCACTGGTAGTTCCCAGTTCTATAAGAAAGCAGGCTGAGCAAGCCATGTGGAGCAAGCCAGTAAGCAGCATCCCTCCACAGCCTCTACATCAGCTCCTGCCTCCAGGTTCCTGCCCTGCTTGAGTTCCTGTCCTCACTGCTTTTGATAGTGAATAGAAACATGGAAGTGTAAGACAAACTGGTTCCTCCCGAACTTGCTCACTCTGCATAATGTTTCTTCAGAGCAATAGAGACCATCACAAAGACAGACCTCAAAGTGAAACCCAAGACACTGAAGCTTCTAGAAGAAAGCATATGATGTCCCTATCGGTGTAGGAAGAGGCTTTCTGAATAGAACTCAGTCACTTATGGCAACAGTTGACAAGTGGAACCTCACAGAACTGAAGGGCTTCCTTACAGTAAAGGAGCCAATCTCTCGAGTGAAGAGGAAAGCCAAAGACTGGGATGGGATGTTTACCGGTAATCTACCTAGAAGAGAAGTCATGTTGAGGGTATATAAAGAGCGAAAGGAAACAAACAAACAAAAGACTCGGGAAACCAAACAACCCAACTTAAAAAAACGTGACTGAGAACTGGACAGAGTTCTCAAAAGAAGAGATAGAAAATGGCAAAAACCAAACAAACAAAAACAACAGCAACAACAACAAAAACAAACAAAAAACCTTCATCCTTAGCAATTAGATGCAAACAAAAAACAACTTAAAGAGTTTTATCCCCTGACTCCATTAGAATGGCAAAGATCAATGGAACACAGATACAAATTCTGGAAGGGGTACATGCCTGGCTCATCTGTGTTACTCGGAGTGCAAACTGGCCTGGCTGCTCTAGAAACCAGTGTAGACAGTTCTTGAAAACCTGAAAAGAAAATCTACCCCATGACTCAGAGGTACCACTCCTTGGCATATGGCCAAAGGACTCAGCCCCTTATTCTACAGACATTGGCTCAGTCATCAGACACTGGCTGGGCCATCAGACATTTGCTGGAGCCATCAGACACTTGCTGGGTCATCAGACATTTGCTGGAGCCATCAGACACTCTGCTCAGCCATCAGACACTGGATGAGCCATCAGACACTGGCTGGGCCATCAG